GTGTGTGTGTGTGTGTGTGTACATATATGTACGTGTGTGTTGTGTGTATCTATCACTAACCCATAGCGAGGGGAGGAGAGGAGAGGGCAGTATGCTCGATATCTCTCTGCTCTGCTCTCCTCTTCCCCCGCAGAGGAAGGACAGAATTCCAGTTGGAGTGAGCGGAAAACAAAATGAACAAAGGCGGGGGAGAGAGTAGGACTGAATGCAAGAGAATATATACATGAACATATACAGAGCGAGGTGTAGAAATGCCGTGCCATACATTTAGCAGACAATATATTGCTCTACACACGCATTCATTCACCGCCATCCACAGTAAGAACCAACGCTTAACCACCTCCATCAATAAATACATTTCAGAGTATTTCCCAATCTAACAAATCACGACCCAAAGACGTACGTTGTAATTAATTTCACACAGTTCGTTAGTCACAAGATGGAATAATTTGCCGCACATCGCGGGCAGGAGGGGGTACAGGCGGCCATATAGCCCTGGCAGAGACGCCAGAGTGGATAAATCACTGCCAACTCAACGCTATTCCAGCCTGGCAACACCTCTGCCAGGTGGCCGGCCGCGTGCCCCCCTCCCCCCCCCCCCCCCCCCCCCCCCCCCCCCCCCCCCCCCCCCCCCCCCCCCCCCCCCCCCCCCCCCCCCCCCCCCCCCCCCCACCTCCCCCTCCTTCGCGCCTACCCCGGAAATCTTCCCCATCCAACGTCCGCATGCACCGGCCTCCGACCCTCAGAGAGCACCCCACTTCACCCCTCGATAGACTGCACCAGAACGTGCGCTTGCAGTCATTTACAGGGTCGTCCGCCACGTGAGCGCGAACGCGATTTCTTTTATAAAGTCTCGGGATCTACTTAAAGACTGGCCCCTGTAATAATCAACCTATTCCAAATCCTGCGCAAGTCAGCACTATGGTCCATCTGGAGAAAACGATGCCAGGAAACAATGGACAAACAACCAATGCACGTGCAGGTAGAAACAGAATACTGGGCCCTATGGCGCAAAGTCAAGAGGAAACATGGAATATCCTCAGACCTCAGGTAGAAACAGAATACTGGGCCCTATGGCGCAAAGTCAAGAGGAAGATGAAAGCGAACAAACCCAAAGCCAAAGAACTCCAAACCAAATTTGAGAATATATCTACCTCGCCAAGGGTAAGATAGCAATTGTCAAAGGTCAAAGCCTAATCTTCACAATATGGAACCATACAACACAGACCACTAGTCCAGACTGAAGACCAATGATCAGCACACCAGACTCGTTGAGCATCCAGATCAATTCCTTCTAAAAACACCGCAGGTTACCATTTTTTTGGCTAAGATCAAGTGTAGTATCTGTTCTGATCAGTTTAATACCTGATCTGATTTTTTTTATTTTTTATTTATTTTTTATTTATTTATTTTTTTTTCCCAAACAACCTGATCGGATGCTAGGTGTGCTGATATTAAAGACAGACAAGGAGCGCAAGTGAAATCCTTAACCCCCCAAAACTAATCCAAACCACCTCCCCGCAGAATCAAAGCCACTGACGACAGCAGAATAGAGCCGTTAGTAAAAAGACTGCACTACAAAAAGCAAGTCCCCACAGACCTCATCACCAGCATAAAAAATAAAATAAAAACAGCCCTAATCCCCCCTCGAACCCCGCATACCCTTCATATCCCTCCTGCACACACCTAGCCCTAGTACCACCATACAATCAAAATGAGCCCAACCATTATCCCCCCAGTCACGACATTACACACCCAATCACAACAGCCACCCAACCCCGCAATCCAGATCTGCAAACATCCCACGCAACCTCTTCTCAATTCAGTTAAAATAGTACAAGTCCCATGCCACATTATTTCCCAAATGATACCTCCTTCCAAGTAACGCGACAATAACCTAGGATACGAGACATAGACTATAGGAGGAGATTTCAAATAATCATTTTGCAGGCCAAGTGTGGCATACTGCGTAGCCACACGGGCCCTGCAGGGCCTGTCCCGGACATTCAGCCTAAAAGCCTAAAACTTAGGGCTTACAGGCCCCATTCGTTTCAGCCTGGAAGCTGAAAAACGAGGGCCTGCAGGCCCTACCCCGTTTCAGCCTATTTCTGGGTCTTTTCAGACCCAGAGTTTTCA